TGTTGAGTTACAGGTACTTATTTAACAGCATCGCCTCCTAAAAGAGACAATCAAAAATATTTGGCCCAGCTTTGGCAGAGCTCATGATCGAGCCTCTGCCCACCTGACTGAGTGTTGGTCTGAGCAACTTTCTGAGTGGCTCTACCCCCCCTAAATCGGCCAAGCGGAAGCGATTGCCGCGGTGAACGATGAAAAAAAGTTCGGGAATGCGGCGAAAAAAAGAATTAAGGGGTACCCGAACCAATTGTTTTTTGTCCAACTTTTTAGACGTCGGTTTTGAGCGTTTCAAAGCGAGAAAAAAAAACGATTTTTGATTTTCTATTTTTTTCAGCTGGGGAGAGCCAATGGCTATTGACTGCGGATGGCGCCTGTAGTCTACCATATTTTTGTTTTGTTTCCCCGCGGCGTCGTATGTGCCGGGTTTTGAGACCACGGGCTCCCCATTTTTTGTGGACTAAAGAGCTAATGTGAGAAACAACAACAACAACAACAACAACAACAACAACAACAAGTCGACCCCGCTTTAAAGACACACCACGTTTGTTTTCCCACACAAAAGTGTCTTTAACGCGGGGAAGTGTCTTTGAAATTCCGGGGCCACTAACGCACCATCCCCGGGGCCATTGAAGGCGAAACATATGTCAAAAGGTGCGCATTCATTCGCAGCAGAAAGGCGACCACAAGAAGAGAGAGAGAGGTGTTTTTTGAAACCTACGACACAAGGTGATTTGAAGGTTGCAACCACTGCTGCTGCTATTATTGTGGTGCAATACATACTTGCATACCATCGTTTGAATTTCCCCGTACTGTACCACCAAAAACGCTGAAAGCGATGGTGTTCTACGACCTGCGCATCGCACGTGTACACGACGGTAGTAAGTAGTGCGCTGGTGTTGATATGGGCTTATTTATTTGCTTTATTTTATTTTTTAGGCGTTGTCCTCCCCGTGAATATCTTGCCCAAGAACTCGCTACCGCACCTGAGACATATCGAAGGTTGTAAAACGACACTAGGAAAATGTAGGTTACGCAGAAACACAGAGACCAAAAATGTCGGGAAAACACAGCGACAGTGAGGACGCCGCGCCTTNTTATTTTTTAGGCGTTGTCCTCCCCGTGAATATCTTGCCCAAGAACTCGCTACCGCACCTGAGACATATCGAAGGTTGTAAAACGACACTAGGAAAATGTAGGTTACGCAGAAACACAGAGACCAAAAATGTCGGGAAAACACAGCGACAGTGAGGACGCCGCGCCTTCCAAAAGGCCAAAACGAGGCACAACACAACACAAACGCCAAATTCAACCTCACGAGACTTCACCCAAGGCAAACAACGAACGTTGGCAATAAAAGTGCTTTGCTCTCGAAACCAAAAACTACACCCGCCACATATATCCCGAAGAGCCGCCTGCACCCACACGCAGTGTGCGGCTGCAGCAGACCGCTGTTGATGATCCAGGATCTACAGGTGCTGAAGCACATTTTCTGGGGGGGGCGAATGGTGGAACACCACCCCCCCTACTTTTCACATCTGCGGGGCACCATGATTATGAGATGTTTTCTCAGTACTGCACGACTGAAAAAAAAAAAGTACNCAAATTCAACCTCACGAGACTTCACCCAAGGCAAACAACGAACGTTGGCAATAAAAGTGCTTTGCTCTCGAAACCAAAAACTACACCCGCCACATATATCCCGAAGAGCCGCCTGCACCCACACGCAGTGTGCGGCTGCAGCAGACCGCTGTTGATGATCCAGGATCTACAGGTGCTGAAGCACATTTTCTGGGGAGGGCGAATGGTGGAACACTACCCCCCCCTACTTTTCACATATGCGGGGCACCATGTTTATGAGATGTTTTCTCAGTACTGCACGACTGAAAAAAAAAAAGTAAGCGGCGGGACCCGCCAAAGACACCAAGCGCGAGAACATGCCCACCACAGCATCAATCGCCAGAAAAAAATGATGGAAGACGGACTGAGCGCCAGAAAATAGAGTGCATAAGAATTCAACTTGATTGGTGCAGAGGATCGAGAGGTAGGCACGAATGAAGTTGAAAACTTGCGTTCGCATACAGGCACCGTGCTTATGCCCTGAAACAGTGCCGGCAACACCGAGCATCGATTATGCTAGCTGCTGATTNGATTTGCCGAATTCCGTCCACTGTAGGCTTCAAACTTGTCGGCGCAACCCCCAGCCCGTGCCCGAAAAAACACGTGCCGATGGTATCTACGCGGCGCAACCACGCTGCTGTGCACCCGCCAAAGACACCAAGCGCGAGAACGCGCCCACCACAGCATCAATCGCCACAAAAAATTGATGGAAGACGGACTGAGCGCCAGAAAATAGACTGCATAAGAATTCAACTTCATTGGTGCAGAGGATCGAGAGGTAGGCACGAATGAAGTTGAAAACTGGCGTTCGCATACAGGCACCGTGCTTATGCCCTGACACAGTGCCGGCAACACCGAGCATTGATTATGTTAGCTGCTGATCTTGTGGTTGTATAGCACTTAGAATTGTGCTGCAATACCAACCATAGGTGCAGTACTCTTGAATGGCGTCAGCTAGGTTTGAACTGACATTGCTGTTGGTGGTGCCCCACTGATATTGCACCTCACATNGAACGCGCCCACCACAGCATCAATCGCCACAAAAAATTGATGGAAGACGGACTGAGCGCCAGAAAATAGACTGCATAAGAATTCAACTTCATTGGTGCAGAGGATCGAGAGGTAGGCACGAATGAAGTTGAAAACTGGCGTTCGCATACAGGCACCGTGCTTATGCCCTGACACAGTGCCGGCAACACCGAGCATTGATTATGTTAGCTGCTGATCTTGTGGTTGTATAGCACTTAGAATTGTGCTGCAATACCAACCATAGGTGCAGTACTCTTGAATGGCGTCAGCTAGGTTTGAACTGACATTGCTGTTGGTGGTACCCCTCTGTTGTTGCACCGCACACGCTTGTGCCTGTTGGAGTCGGGACCCTCACCTAGCAGTGCATAACTCTCCTGATTCCCGAAGAAAAACATGCAAGAATGGTCGAATAGCGACAGTAGCACGGCACCGACAGCAACAATGAGTTTGGCCTCTGATAACGTCGTGCTATGGGGTGTCGCATGCAGGCACGGTCGGCATATATATGTAAACATTGAAGTACTTGTCTCGATGGACGCCCTGAGCATTGGGTGTGGCGAAAACGCCAGAAATACTTACAAACGAGCACCGCACACAATACCGGGCCAACGCACACAGCACCCTAATTATAGGTTNAATGCAAGAATGGTCGAATAGCGACAGTAGCACGGCACCGACAGCAACAATGAGTTTGGCCTCTGATAACGTCGTGCTATGGGGTGTCGCATGCAGGCACGGTCGGCATATATATGTAAACATTGAAGTACTTGTCTCGATGTACATGAGGACGCCCTGAGCATTGGGTGTGGCGAAAACGCCGGAAATACTTACAAACGAACACCGCACACAATACCGGGCCAACGCACACAGCACCCTAATAATAGGTATCCGGCAGTCTGCCGAAAAAACGCCGAGAACAATATACCATGCCAATAAACAACGGACACCCGGCTTGGCCGAAGAATAATACCCCCCCCCGGTCCACCTCCCTGCGCAACTACGTGCNCCCCCCCCCGGTCCACCTCCCTGCGCAACTACGTGCGCAACTAGGAACGAAAATTCGCCGTGGGCGGAAACGCGCGCCCTAGCCGGCTTTTCAGTATTAGGCTGAAGTTCGTCCGTCTGATATCTCGCACCTCGGGGTCGTCGTATTCCGTGGATGGATGTATCCAACGGAAGTGAAGCACGGACGGACCTGTTCAACCATCACCAAGGACGCGCGAAGTATGTCATTGAAACATGGAGTAACCATAAATCAGACCACACGATCTTTCGGTACGACGTGGAGATCTGACGTGCAATAATGCCGGGCACGACATCCCCAA